CAATAGCGTAATGAAACGTGCTGATGACGTTTCATGTCTGCATGAGCAGGGTGCGCGGAGGTAAGCACACACATACGTTGACAGGCAGGTAGGACAGCCTATCGTAGCCCTCGGACCGAGGAATCTGATTGGTCAAACATTTTATGGTCCTATACCGTCCACAGACGATTTAAATACATTTAGGCCACTCAACTTAGTGAAGAGCCTTTCAACCAGCATAACCAAAAATGTTTTTGAACCAAATCACCTACCCTCAAAACGATTAAAAATGCAAACAAATCTTTCATTTCACTTCAGAAGATTTTTATACCACATACAAGTTATGATACTTTTGGACTGCTTATGACACTTTTAAGATACTTTTACGATGCTTTTGTGTCAGTACATCATTCAGAATCTCTCCATTTGGCCTCTAAAGTATAAAGAAAGTCTGGAAAGGTGAATAAATGATGAGAAAAACTTTGATTAGGTGAACAAATCCATTAAGATTATTCAAACTGCATTACACTTGTTTGTAGTTTTAAAAATGATTTAAATGATTAAAAATACAGCATACTAAATTCAACATAATTATGTCCAACTCCATCACGACACCCATGTCTTTTTCCCCCAAAAAAATTTTAAGACCACTCGACATTCTCTCGTCTTCCTGTTCCCTTAATACGTGATTTCAAGAAGCCCCCGGCTGGACTTTATACGCATCTCACATCCATTATCGAGGAGGATATTCAGTCCTCGATCGCACAAGCCGCTGCACTTCAGTAAATGCCACACTGGATTATTTAAAGGCTTTTTTGAGGCAGTGACACTTCCTTGATTTACAAGTGTTAAAAGCATCTTCCAACACCGCTGTATAATCTTAATATTTAATAAAGTGCCTGAAAAACGTAAAAAACGCATTTTATGGTGTTGTATAGTGCAGTGCTGTCGGCAATATATTTTTAGTGTCTTAGTCAAAAGTGGCATTTTTTGACATTATAAAGTGGTTAAATTGAAAACTAAGAGGATAACAAAACGCAAAATGGCATGGCGAGGTCACTTAGCGGTGCTTACGACATCTAGCCGAATTTGTCGCTCGCGCACGAGGTCAAACTTCGGTCAGATCTCGGATGATCTAACCAAAATCGGATATTGCTCCAGTGTGTTTCTTCAAATGTCGAATCTCTAACAAAGTACGAACCCAAATACGAACTCTCGTCGTCCCTACGAAAGAATTAAGCATCTGAAGTCCACGCGTCTGGTTTCATAGATTTACACTGGCGGGAATTTTTTATTTGGGGTTTTTTTGGGGGCTCAACACTAGCCATAGACTGTCACAACAGCTATGATGTGACATTTTCTGAACTTCTGACCCCAGTCGGCGGGTCATCGTCCGGTCAGATCTCTCCTTCGGGCCACGAGTTGGTTCTCTAAAGCATAACCGAAATGCCAGGCCATTGCCAACACGCCATACTTTCGTTCCTTCATAAGCAACCCCTCCTCCGTCTAGAAGCAGAGTTCAGCGGAAGGCCACCGAATCGCTCCGCCTCCAAACAACCTCACTTGTTTACAAGGAATGTTAACAAGAGCAAGCGTCTTTGCTCCGCCCATCGTTAAGCGACTCGCAGCGCGTGACCATTTCTTCATACGGAAACACAGTGACCCCTGGTGTTTGGAGCTGGAAAATGTTACAGAGCGTTTTCAAAGCTGCCTAACTAATTTTATGGATGCAAACAGAAATCTTTCTTGTAAAATTATAACATTTAATATATTATTTTAAAGTTTTACATTTTTGCTTTTGTTATAATCCTGTGTAGTTTGCTAATAACAGACTAAAATTCATCAGTATAGTCTTTTTGAGCTTAAGTTTCATGTGAAAATGAATATTAATACTTCTTGTTAAAATATTCCTAAATAGTATTATCTGGATTGTGGATACTAATATTAAAATGTTTTAGGAGAACTGTTCTGCAATCGTAAACTCAATAATAAGATAAACATATCAATGCTGTACTATTATTGTAGATCCAGTTTGCATTAAAAATGTATATTTCATCTAAAGATGTAGAGCAAAATCTGGGATTAAAATTGTAAATTTTAAACCTGGAAATAACTGAAATATTTAGGATTTTAAAAAAGGCAAAAGAAAGCAATGTTATGACAAAACAAAGAAGAAATATTTAAGATTCTGCAATACAAAACACGTTGGAAAACATGATCAGGTTTATTTTTTTAATGATTGAAGTTGCTCTGCATATAATTAAGAACGAAAATCTTTAGCATGTTTATGTACTGATCATATACAGTTTTCAACCAAAATCTGAAAAGTAACAATAATAATAATAATAATAATATTTTGCATTATATAATGTTTTGTAATGGAACGTAAAAGGAAAAATGCAAACTTGTCACAGAAGTGAATCATCCAGATGTAGCCGGCCTGGCAACATTTTTCAGTTTATTAAGAGAAACGGGGTAAAAAAAATAGGCTTTATGGGGAAACAACATAACGGAAAACACACACACGCACACGCGCACACACACACACACACACACA